GCGAATTAAAGTTGGGGTAAACGTCCAAGGTTTTTGCCCAGTTCAAGGAGGTTGTAAAATCGAACGGCCCAAGGGAATTGATAATTTGAGTTGAATAATAGGGGGGAATTGGAGGTTTTATTGGGGGTGGGGGGGAAATTTAGGAATTTAATGAATTTGAGGAGGGTGGAAGAAATTGGATTAGGGAATGATGGAAAATTTTGGGAAAAGAAGGGGAAGAAGTTGTTTTTCATGTTGGGGGGGGCGTGCCCGTGCGCCTGCTCAAGAGACTCGAGAGGTCGCGAGCGGCGGGGCCTCACAACTCATGCGCTACAGCGCACGGCGGCACCGTCTCTACATGCTTTCATGACTCTTCAGTGGCACGCGGGGACCACCTCGTGCTCGTCGAAGCCGCAGAGCATGAGCACATCGCGTGTCGGATGGATGATGGGTGGCACCGGCACCGGCAGCAGAAGCGACACGTACGACTTGTACGTGTCGGTGACGAGCGAGCCGGCTTCCGTCGAGAAGGGCCCCTGGCTCGTAAATGCGCGGGGCAGCTTTCCCTCAGCCACTTGTTGCAGCACGTTTGGGCCCTTCTCCATGCTGGTTTCGCCCGTCTTGAGCGGCTCGATAACCCAGAAGTTCTTGAGGATGTCGTCGGCGCCGTCTTCTTCCCCGGTGGAGAGGAAGGGGTGGGAGATGCGCCATGGCCTCTCGGGGTTCGATACGTTGATCAGGACCGAGTAGGGCTGTTCGCTCCCATTGTAGTCACTTTCGACCGTCTCGATCACCTTTGACATGCTGGCGGTCCGGATGATCGACGTGACTCTTTCGAGGCAGGACGAGACCATGTAGGGCTCGAATGCCACCGCCCGCTGAGCGACCGAGCATTCGCCGGGCTCCGAGGCGAAGGCTCGAGCCCCAGCAGCCGAGAGCAAGAAGAGCAGCGACCGCATTTGAGAAAAACAATTTTTTTGTTTTGCCACAGGCGGTGAAAAAAAGTAGTTATTGCGTCTGGTGGTGCGATGGACTCCTCTATAAAATCCCTGTGTGGTGGCGGCGTGCCGTCCTCCCATCCCTCCCTTGGGTTCTCCGTTTTCTTTCTTTCTTTCTTTCCCGTGCCGAAAGAATGCAGAGCGTGCAAGGCGGCTAGGGATGAGGCCGCAAAAGAGGCGCGCGAGACAAGGAGGAGAAAGGGAGCACGGAGAGACTGGGACGACTGGACACAAGAAGACAGTAAGCCACCACAGCGCACAGGCGTCGTTGGCGCACACTGAGCGGCAGCTGCGCTGGAAATAAGGAAGAGGCGCGTTACTTCATGCGAAGCTTGACAAACACACGGCAAGGGCGACAGCAAGAGTCGAACGGGCGGCGCCTGACTCAAAAGACACAGCCGCATTCCTGAGACGCGCGAGGGCAGCCTCCTTAAAGGCAATGGCGAATGGGGTCTAGATTTGGAGCGCTCGCCGAAGAGGAGTACGGCAAAATAGCGCCCGTGATTGCCTGCACGCTGCCCGCACTCACGGACTCCATACCCGAAAGAAAGAGAGGGGAGCTCGCAGGAGAGGTGACGAGTGAACTACAGGTAGTGGTCCCCGCTCGACCGAGCGCCATCAAGCCCGCGCCTGCTGCCACTCTCGAATCTGCCGGCGCAGAACGTGGATGGTGGAGAGGGGAAAGTGTGCTCGAGCGCCTGTCCCGTCATCGGGCGAAGCGGGGAGGGGCGTCCTTAGGGGACCCCCAGAGTTCTGAGGGCCGGATATTTTTAAGACCTTTTAAGAAATGAGGAGGTTTGGGGGCTTAAATTGCCATTTAAGAGATTGCAGGCACGGGGGGTCCCTCTTTTAAGACCGTTTAAGAAAATCGGCCTCACCGGCATGCGTCGCTGGGGGTTCCGCGCCGTTTTCTCCAATACTGCCGTTGGAGTAGGCACAAACCCGCCTCTGAAGACACATCTGTAAGTCTGGTGCACTGGCAGGAGCCATACTCGCATAGGGGACGCGTGCTAGCTGACTGTAGCCAGCTTCCCGGCCTCCCGCTCCGGCGTCTACCGCGTACCGGCCGGGACCGCACACCGTTTAAGCGATTAAGACCGTTTAAGGAATCGGCGGCCCAGCACGCAGCAGCTCTTCAACCGGCCTGGCCTGTTTTAAGCCGTTTAAGCCGCAGGTGCCCCAGGGCCCACCCTTTTAAGCCTCCCCTAAGAGGGCGTCTCTATACCGCTTCTGCGTGCAAAACGCGCGTTGAAAAAAGAGATACCAGAAAAGGGCGTCGTCGCGGCGTTCTCGGCCCGTCGCGTCGTCGCGGTGAAGCCTTTTTTCTTTCTACTTGGAGCACTTGGAGTGCAGTCATTAACCGCACATCCAGGGCCGGGCGGGGAGCTAAGATACGTTTAAGTAACTTTTTCTTTTCGAAGCCGCCGCCCTAGGCTTCTGCCATCTGCGAGAGTATAGTTTCTTTTGCACATTTACGCTACCACCACGGTCCGTGCAGAGCAGTGCCGGCCACAAGCTCTCGCCGGGCCCGCCGCGGCGAGCCAGCGACGGCGTACCGAGCGTCCAGCCTGGGGTGGTCGAGAGTGGGGGGCGGGACGCGCGCGGGGTCGGTGCCGGTGCGCTCAGCGCTCAAAGGAGTGGCTCACGTCGTGGACGGTGATCTCGAGGTTGCCAATCAGCGCCGCCATCTGCATGTGGTTGTTGTGCGCGTCCTTGTCCGCCATCGAGGAGGTGCCGACGAGCACGTGCCCGACGGTGAAGGGCAGGTGCAGCGTCGCGTCGAGGTCGATCCACTTGCCCGCGATCAGGGCCTGCGTCCACATGTGCCAGCCGTACTGCCCCGTCAACCGCCCGCCGGCCGGATCGACGTTGCCGCTCGCGTCGACGTGCACCTGCCCGGGTCGATGGCGGAGCCGCACTCTCGGGCAATCTCGGCGCGCATGGGCTCATCTCGGCGTGCACCTGCCCGTCGATGGCGGAGCCGCCCTGCTCGACGTAGACTAGCCCGTGGCACACGCGCGACGGGATGCCTGCGCGTGGGGAGCACAGCGGGGCTCAAGGGGGTGCATGCGGGCGGTGCCGTGTGCGTGGGCGCACTACCCGGGCCCGCTCTCTCCCTACCCAGAGGCGCGAGCGCGGTGCAGTAACGGCCGGGGGCGTGCCCCTCACGAGGGCGCGGGTGCTGGGGGCGGGTGCTGGGGGTGCGCATCCCGGATCGAGGGGCCGCGCGCCTCGCGCGCGCAGCACCGCCGCGAGCAAGACGGCGTGCTCGGTGCAGTCGCCCGAGGCGGTGCGCGCCGTCTCGGAGGCGGAGGCGTAGGCGGTGGAGAGGTGCTTGTCCTCGATGTGCTCGTGCACCTGTTGCGGGGAAGGGGGAAGGGGCGGGGGGGGGGCGTGAGGACACGGCGCGGCCTCCGCGGCAGCTGCCCTCGAGGGCCGCTCGCGCACGATCTGGCGCAGCGCGTAGGCGAGCTCCTGCTGGCACGGGAGGAGGGCGCGTGAGGGGGTCGCCCTCCCACAAGCCTCGCCCGGCGGCTCCCCGTACCCCCCCCAGGCAACCCGGGGGGGGGGGGAGCGTTCCTCGGCAAGCCCGAAGGGCAACTTGCCGGTTGTGTCCCCCTTGGGCAGCGGTTTCCCGCCCTTCGGGCAAAAGGGGCCCCCCGTAGGCAAAGGGTCAATTTCGGGGCACCCTCGGGGTCTCTTGGGAGGGGGGTCCCCCCTTGGGCCCCGGGGAGGGGAAACCCTACCGGGAAGCGGG